TGGAGTTCTCTTCCTCAGAAATTTTTTTAAGGCTGAGTTAGATGGGTTTTTGATGAACAAGGGTGGCAAAATGTTAGGGATACATGGAAAAGTAAGATCTTAAACCACAATGCGATCAATCATGATCTTATTAAATGGTGGAGCAGGCTGAATGGCCGACTCCTGCTCCTAATTCACACGTTCTTTAAGGGCTTTGATAGGGCTAATGCTGAGAAAATGCTTTCCCTGGTTGGTGAATCTATGACAGGGGGTTCCCAGACTCTGAGTGAAGGGGAGGCCAGTTAGGACCCAGATGAAGAGGTGAGGGCTTCTCTAACCACACAGCTGTGCATGCTCAGTCAGTGAATATTTTGAAGACTGAGATTGATAGAGTTTTGAGGAGTTAAGGAGTATGGGGAAAAGATGAAGCTTAGGGAGTCATGATCTTTTTGAATGGCAGAGTACATTTGAAATGCCAAGCAGCCTACTCCAACTCCTGTTTCTTATGAGCTAGAGAACTCTGAGAATGTTAATAGAGTCATACAGTATGGAAACAGACCCTTTAGTCTAACTCGTCCATGCTGACTAAATATCCTAAATTAATCTTGTCCCATTTGCCAGCATTTGGCCTATATCCCTCTAAACCCTTCATTTTAATGTACCCATCCAGATGTCTTTTAAATGTTATAATTGTACCAGCCTCTGCCACTTCCTCAGACAGCTCATTCCTTACACGCACCACCCTCTGTGTGAAAAAGTTGCCCCTTAGGTCCCTTGCAAATCTTTCCCCTCTCACACTAAACTTATTCCCTCTAGTTTTGGGCTCCCCCACCCTGGGAAAAAGACCTTGGCTATTCACCCTATCCATGCTCCTCATAATTTTATAAACCTCTATAAGGTCACCTGTCAGCTTCTGATGCTCCAGGGAAAATAGTCCCAGCCTATTCAGCTCTCCCCATAGCTCAAACCCTCCAAACCTGGCAACATCCTTGTAAATCTTTTCTGTACCCTTTCAAGTTTAACAACATCTTTCCTATATCAGGGAGACCAGAATTGAATGCAGTATTCCAAAAGTGACCTGACCAATGTCCTGTACAGCTGCAACATGACCTCCCAACTCTTATACTCAATGCAGTGACCAATAAAGGCAAGTGTACCTTAGGCTTTATTCACTATCCTGTCTACCTGTGACTCTACTTTCAAGGAATTGTGAACCTGCACTACAAGATCTCTTTGTACAGCAACCCTCCCTAAGTCCTTGTATAAGTCCTGCCCTGATTTGCCCGATAAAAATGCAGCACCTCACATTTATCTAAATTAAACTCCATCTGCCACTCCTTGGTCCATCGGTCCATTTGATCAAGGTTCTGTTGTACTCTGAGATAACCTTCTTCGCTGTCCACTACACCACCAATTTTGGAGTCATCTGCAAACTTACTGGTTAACTGCATGCTAACATTGAAGTCACAGAAGCTAAACAGCTCAGACTGTCTGGTCCCTTTCCCTAGGGATCTAAATGGAACAGCTTTTTACAGCAATTTGGAAGCTCAAAATCATTTTGAATTTATTGGAATTCAACTTGCTGTGGTGGAATCTGATCCCACAAACTCTGACATTCGAGTTAATTTACCTGATATGGAATGGGAACCTCTATCGAGAGTCCATGGCTGACACATCTTCCAATGATATATGGATTCATGTTGACAGAAAGTTCTCAGGTTTGAGTCTTGATTAATGTTGAAATAAAAGATCTCAGTTGTGGCACAGGCTGTGCATTAGAAATGGTTTCGGTGTCTCCTGGGCTTGGAGAGGAAAGAGGCAGAAATGAGTACGGTTCCTGTCTCTGATCACTATTCAGCATTCCTTGTTTAAAAGCGAAGGGTAGATTGCGTTCAAATGGGTGGCAGCAAATCAGCAAATGCCCTGCCAGTATGTGAAGGATGAATAAGGACAGGGTTAGGTTTCACTGGGCTGCCAACATTCAGTGGGCCATAAAGAGTGACCACAAGCAGATTACTGAGAGCATCTAGCGCTGCTGGGCAATAGCATCCAAGAGGGAGTCAGTGGCTTCAAGAAAGGAGAGTCCATCTATAATCAGCCATAATCTAATTTGGGGCACCTAGCAACTCTCCCCATTCACCACAATCCCATATCGAATGTTGTCCACTCATCCAATCCAACACCAAAGAAGGTAGAGAGTTGGAAAAGAAATGCTAACTTTGGATCTTAGCTATTTTCTAATCAAACCTGCCCAGAAATGTTATTACCCACCACCTCTGGGGTAAGGTGAGACTTGAACCTGGGTTTCCTAGATCAGAGGTTTGGATACTATCACTGCACCACAAAAGTCCCACCAGTCATTTTTAAAATTGCTCAATTAAAGTAAAGCAGTTGAAGGGTTAATGGCCCTTCATCAATGAAGATTGAGCCTTGCATTGACAGTACATCTTAAACATTCCTCTGAGATATCTCAGAGTGCTTCATATCGATGACTTTTGGAAGGCCATGTGACTGTTCATAATATTGAGAGATCCAGCTTATTCAGCAACATCTGCAGGATATACTCTTTCACAACCTGTGCCACCTGATAGGTCAGTTTAATAACTCCTTTCCTTGCCAATCAGTTGTGTCATAGCATGGGAAGGATCATGAAGAAGGATATAAACATAATCACGGTATATCCTTTCCCAGTACTTCATTGCATAGGGAGATCCAGCTTGTAAAGAAGTGGACGGTAAGATCAAATTGTTCTTTCTGATTATGTGGTATGTGTATGTTCCCTGCGGGAATGTTAAAAAGATCACAAATGGCAATATTTCCAAAAGTACAAGCACTGAGATCTTCACCATATGTTCAGGGATGTGATTTGTTTTATATTATTTCGAAGGCTCGCTTTGGCAATGGCAGACTGAGCATCATAAACAAGAAAAACCAAGTGTTAGATCTGTACCTCATCAGAAAAATACGTTCTCTACAAGGCATGGGACGCTCAGAGAATGGCTAAAGCCAAGAGAAAGAGGGTTCCTCTGAATAGTTAATGTTTTGAAAACTGCTTCCAAGAAGTTTGGCTTCCTGCTCGATACCAATCAGTTCTTTTCAAGTCAATAACTCTTGGCTATGAAGCCTATACTGCCATGGTATGGTATATATTGGCATTTGCCACATAATCCACTAGCTGGATAGGTGTTACAAATATCCGTGTCCTTTCTCAGGCCAATATTGCCAGCATCGAGAAACTGGTTACAATCAATCAGCTTGGTCACATTGCCTATCTGCCTGCACTATCAAAATAAACTTCATCACAGCTGAAAGGCAGTGGAAATGATTTGTGGGCATCCTCAAAGCCTCCCTGAATAAAATGTAATGCCCCTACCAACTCACGGGAATCTCTTGCCCAAGATTGTCTAAGCTGGAGAAGAAGTATCCACAAAGGTGCCAATATTTCCAGTGTCCCCAGCAGGTGGAAGTCAAGTGCAAATAGTGGAAGGAGCTTTTGTAAAGTTGAACATCCCACCCACACACACATCCCATCAAACATCCCCTGTCTATCCCCTGCAAAATGGACTGATTTGTCACCTCAGGACCCACAAAGTCAGGATGGAGGAAACCTCGACAAATCTTGCAGCATTTACAATGGGAGTAAGCTGGAAGTGTTGTTGTTAGTCATTGATCAGTAGGTTTTATAGATGAGATTCTGTGCTTCTGATACCTTTTGACCATGATTGAATTCCAGTATGTGGGCTAAAAGAATATTCTTTTGTTTCCTTTTCAACTGGTTTGCAGCACTGAAGTTGAGAGAGAGAAAGACAGTGTCTTTACCTGTAACATGGGGTTAACTAGGGGATGGTTCACCAAATGTGACCATTGCAGCACACCAATGTTGAAACCCAGGCTGGCACATGTGACAGTTTTCAGTCTCACCAGTCTACTCCAGTAGAGTTGAAACTGGATTTTAAGCCCTGTTCCTGTGTATTCTTCAAAAGGAAAATCACAACGTGTTCAGTCTGCAGTTTGGAGCAAGATCTTTTTGTTGGAAAGGGGTTTGTCAATAATTGCACAGGGCAGCATGTTTGGACCTGCCTTTTCTCTCCAATTGAAAGGCTGTTGCTTGTAAATTTTATTTGCATTATAGATGTGAAATTAACTTAATTTAAAGCCATACTCACTTGTGACTGTACAAGCCATCCTTTTAAAAAAACCAAACTTTGGAAGTACAGGTTAAAAATGTCCAAGGTACTTTGGGGTTTTGACCTATGGTCATAATAATTAATGAACCTGACCTAGGCAATTATTATTTTTGGAAGCAAGGGTTTTAAAAACATACAATATCAGCAAGTAGGGAGCACAGGGAGAAGAATTTCACTCAAAGGGTAACAAATGTATGAAATAAATCATGAGGGGATTTAAAAGACAAGTGCATAACTTCCAAAGTGAAAGGATAGTGTGCAAATGCAGGAAACTGGCACTGAGCTCAATTCAAAATGGGTCAAATAATCTTTTCTTGGTTTGCCTAATTTTCTGTGATTCTCAAATGTGACCCAAAGCAACAAAATTACACAAACTAAAACAGAAATTGGTGGAAAAACTCAGCAGGTCTGGAAGCATCTGTGAAGAGAAATCAGAATTAACGTTTTGGGTCCAGTGACCCTTCCTCAGAACCAATAACAAGTGCAGTTAGGGGTACATTCGAGACATCTATGAGAAAATGGAACGGGAGGAATAATAGAATAATTAAATAGAGATAGTAAATAATTATAATAGAACGTACACAAGGATTAAGCAGGATTTCTCTGATTCGTATGTATCAAACCATTGGAAACAGAGCAGGGAGAGTTTATCTGTCACATCATTCCAGCAAAACTTAAGACACATTGTGATTGAAGGACATTATTCCCCAACGGTGAATAAAATATTTTGGTGAATTAAGATAACATTTGTTTTAACGTTTTTCCATTGTAATCTGTGAATTGTGTTTCCTGTACATATTAGACCATTAACTTTGTTCTAACAGACTGTCTATCATGAAGTTCCCTTTGTTTGTGGGCTGTGGTATAATCTCCATTGCAGCACTAGCCACAAGCTTCATGTTTGACCCAACACTGGATGAAGCTTGGCTGAGCTGGAAATCATTTCACAAGAAGCAGTACAATGAGGTATGAGTAAATGCCGGACTTTCACTTACTGAAGGAGTTTTTGTCATAACTTATTGAACTTCACTTCATGGGAAATAAGTGACCTCATTTTGACAATTGTAAAGGATTGGAGGGTGCAATAAATGAAGTGCAAGGTGAAAAATGTGTGGATGATCATTTTGGTAGTAGAGAGGTTGAGGAAGGCTGGAGTTTTTGGGGGTTGGAGCTGGACAATCATTGGAATCAGAAATCTGCTTTACAGAGGCAGAAACCAACACAACCAAGGACTCAGCAAAAGCCACTTCCATGAACAAGGTACGACAATTGATTAAGGCAGTGCTAGTTTGGGGGGCACTAAATTGTGCAAGAGACTCAATGGTAGGAATTAGGAATGGGAAACAAATACTGGCTTTCCCAGCGATGGCCACGTCTTATTAATGAATACAAAAAATGGTGGCTAATCCCAGATGTTCTTCCCTGCTGGGTCATCATTGAACCTGTCAGGCCGTGAACTGAAAATGGTCCTAAGGCCTGAAAATGCCATCAGCGCAGTGCAACCTGGCGATGCTGTTTAATTTCAACAGCATTGGTGTAAGTGACAAGAAAATAATATTTAGAGCATTGTTTGAGCGATCAATGTTGACCAGGACACTAACAGAACTCTCCAGCTCCTCACTGAAAAGATGTAATGAGAACTTTTAATACCAATGTGAGAGGGAAGACTATTCAGCTTAACATGTTATTCAAAGGATGGGCCCTCCCACAGTGATAGATGCAGCTATATTTGCAACATTTAAGAGACATTTGGACAATTACATGAGTAGGAAATGTTTAGAAGGATATGGGCTAGGTGCAGGCAAATGGAATTAATTTAATTTGGGAAAATTGTTTGGCATGGGTGAGTTGGATCGAAGGGTCTGTTTTTGTGCTGTATGACCCTATGATGTTTTGATTCTAAAAGGTCTATTTGAATTCTACTCATGTCTGTTCTTGGACAATATTATGGGGAAGGTTATTTTACTACTCATTGATGCAAGTCTGGAAATCAAGCTGTGGTTTAAAGAAACTATTCTAATTTCAGTCCAAAGGACAGGAACGAGTCATTTGGTCTAATTAGGTCTGTGTCAGTATTTATGATCCAAACAAATCTACATTCTTCTTCATTTAACTCCTGAGCACACCCTTCTATTCTTTTCTCTCTCACATGCTTATGTAGATGCCTCTGAAATGCATCTGTGCTACTAACCTCACTATTCACCGTTAGAGTAAACACATTCTTATCACTCTTTAGGAGAGAATATTTCTCCAATGATGAGTTGGAGTGAATCACATGATTTTTTTTAATGTCTGGAGCCTATCTTTAAAATATTTTCAATGTTTCTGATGTGAAAATGATTCAAATTTGACTTTGTTGTATGATTTTTCAGAGGAATGCAAATTACAGAAGAATGGTCTGGGAGGACAACATGAAATATATCGCAAACCATAATCTGGAGCACTCATTGGGAAAGCACACCTTTACCATTGGGATGAATCAGTTTGGAGATCTGGTAGGTACGGAATTGTTTTGGGGAGGCGATGGCCTGGTGGTGTTAGCACTAGACTGTTAATCCAGAGACCTAGGTCATGTTCTGGGCACCTGGGTATGAATCCTGCAATGGCTGGATTTGAATTCAATAAAAATCTGGAATTGAGAGTCTATTGATAAACATGAAACTGTTGTCAATTATTCGGAAAATGCCCATCTGTTTCACTAATGTCCTTTAGGGAAGGAAACTGCCATCCTTACCTGGTCTGGCCTACATGTGACTCCAGACCCACAGCAATGTGGCCAACTCTTTACTGCACTCTCGGCAATTAGGGATGGGGGCAATAAATGCTGTCCAGCCATGAACGAATAAAAACAAAAGTTACATTAAGTAATATTACATAGAATTGACAGCTCAGAATCCAGTCAGCCTAATTTACGCTTCACATGAGTCTCATCCCATCCTGCTTCATTTAACCTTATCAATTTCTCCGTCCATTTCTTTCTTTATCATGTATAAATCTAGCTCTCCCTTTAAGGCACGTAAACAATTTGCCTCAGCTACTCCACAGGATAGTGGTTCCACATTGCAAGCAGCTATTGATGAATTTCTTCTATTCAGGACCCCTTGTTTTGAGTTTCTTACAAGTCAGAATATTCTCTTTGTGTCATAATTGTAGGTCGTTCCTAAACTTTTTTCCTTTCTAAAGAAAGGAACCAAGTTTAGTACGGAGATAGCTATTAAGAAAGACTGAATAGGCTGAGAGAACACAGTGTGGAGCTGGAGGAACACAGCAGACCAGGCAGCATCAGAGGAGCAGGAAAGATGACATTTCAGGTTGGGACCCTTCTTCAGAAAATTTCTGAAGAAGGGTCCCAACCCAAAACGTCAACTTTCCTGCTCCTCTGATGCTGCCTGGTCTGCTGTGTTCCTCCAGCTCCACACTGTGTTCTCTCAGCCTATTCAGTCTTTCTTAATAGCTATACCCTTTCAGGTTCTGGTCTGAAAGGTGTGGCAATGAGAATGATGGCTTTCGAAAGTCCTTTCAACAAATCAGGTGTAAAGATGTATTATGAAACCAGTCTGGAGCACTCCAACAAAGAGCAGTGAGTCTATGATTGCATGTGTGTTTCCCTGTGAGAGTCAGTCATTTCCCCTCTGTTTAAATTCTTGAGATTAGTCCAACCAATATCCTACACCAGAAGTATGGAAACAGGTTTGTTCAATCAGTTAGTGCCCTGTGTGGCATTGCTACTGTGGCATTCTCCCTGCTTGGCAGCAACGTCAACATCATTTCAAAGATCCAACATATTATGGAAGTGACTGATATTGTGAAAGTAAAGTCATCACAGTCCTACCAGGCCATAGCTTTCTCGTTAGAGAGAAAAGATTGACAGTGATTTAACCTGAGGCTCACCATGTCTCAGGTGAGGGTCAAGGCTGAGAAAGAGAGTCCTTCATGGTAACCTCAGGCAGTGCAGGAATTGAATCCACTGTGTTGGTGTTCACCTCTGCATTGCAGGCAACCATCCAGCTAAATGAGCCCCATGCAGTGATACTGTACCTTCCTCTGGGCCAGAAAGTCTGGGTTTGAGTTCAACCTGCCACAGAGATGAGAAGTAACATTTCAGAACAGGTTAATATAAAGGCAATATATTTTGGAAGTTCCCTATAGGCACATATTGCAATGCATTCAGCAATTGTTGATGCCCAGATTATTATTTTCCTTAAACATTTATCGACCCAAGCTATGAAGTTTAAAACCAACTCCTTTCCCTGATAACAAGGTGTACAGCTGGATGAACACAGCAGGCCAAGCAGCATCAGAGGAGCAGGAAGGCTGATGTTTCGGGCCTAGACCCTTTGGTTTATTCACAGGATCCAGCCTTATGCTCTCTGCTCTCTCTTATTTTTAAGTAAGCTGTTTGGATATATTTTTGTCATATCTCCAGGGCAGGTGGGGTTTGAACCTGGTCCTTCTAGTTTAGAGGTCAGGACACTGCCACTGCAACACAATTTGTCTCCTCCTTGATTTTTTTGTATGTGACCTCCAGTCTTTTATCAAATAATGCCCATCATGTTAACAACATAAATCAACTAACCATTAACGATAAGAGCTTGGTATCTTTATCTCTGTCCTCTTCAACAGAGCTAGAAGTTGAGTTGATCTTCTCGCTATCTCTCCCTTGGTCTCCCGTGCCACCTTCACCTAATTGTGCTCACTCGTGCTTGGTAATTCCCCCAGTCTTTAGAGGTCATTACCAATGCATGCTGGTCACTGCTTTCTGTGCTGAAATGTTGCATCCTTACCAAGTCTTTTGTCTTGAGTGTGGTCCAAGATTCTGACAGACTGGGAAGAAGATGAGTGGGATAAGGGGTTAGGAAGCCAAATTTTGATGGCAAGCACTTTCTACATCATAAGCATCAAAATACCATGCCAAGCCAGGCTATGTTAAGGAGATGAGCAAATATTGAAAGTTAAATTTAAAAGAGATGTTGAGAAGGTGTCAAAGAACTCTGTTGGTCAATCAAGCCTTCAATGTTGCTGTCCTTGATGCTGAGCGCTCTGTCTTCTCCCACTACAACGTAAGGACCAGGTATGATAGAACACATGCTGGTTGCCATGGCGAGGTTACTAGCTGCATGTTGACTTTCACAGACAGAGAAGCCAGTTAGTTTCAGCCAAACTCCAAAAGACAACTCTATTGGTACCATTCAAACAGGAATTGTTGGGACATATCAGCACCAGTGAAAGAACATGTTGGCGGAGCAACAGAAAGTAATGTCAAATGCATCATTCAGACATTTCTACAGGGAAGCTGCAAATCTCAGCTGGAAAATTTTTAATATATTAATGTACTGAAACAAAACTAAATTCACTAAGATACTTTGAAACATCATCCTGATACCACCAAATGTCAGGCATATAATTGCCTCATGAATGGCAAGGGAGAGCTGTGCTCAGTATTGATTGACCGTTTAATGTGCTGGGAAAATCTTTGGCATTGCATGCAGTCACACCCAGGTAACCCGTCCTGAAGTCAGAACCAGTGCCCCTGTGGGTTTGGTAGGATGCTATAAGTCTGACCTCTGCTCTCCACATTAATTGGAAAGAGGAATTGATAATGATGACCGTTGTGAAAAAGTGACTCCCATTATTTTAACATCAGACAATCTGGAATATATGAGCAGTAATACAGTGAGGCACTGCTGAATACCTAATACTACAAACAAGCACTGCTGGCCTTTAGAAACTTGACACTGGGAAAATTCAAATCTCACGATAGATTTTGGTCCCTGGTTGGAACCAGTGGAGGAAAACCAAATTCTGTGTGTCACTGCCACTATCACTCCTGATGTTATTCAGTGCTAATAATTGTTATTCGGTTAATTAGCATTAACAATTAGTGGTTAGCTAAAATCCCAATTGTCCCCAAGAAAACATATTGATGATTGAGATTGAGGGGGGGATCTTATAGAAACATATAAAATTATGAAGGGAATATATAGGATAGAAGTAGAGAGGATGTTTCCACTGGCAGGTGAAGCTAGGACAAGAGGGCATAGCCTCAAGATTAGAGGGAGCAGATTTAGGACTGAACTGAGAAGGAATTTCTTCACCCAGAGGGTTGTTAATCTGTGGAATTCCTTGCCCAGTGAAGTAGTTGACGCTACTTCAGTAAATGTTTTTAAAAAAAAGGTAGATTTTTTTTGAACAATAAAGGAATTAAGGGATACGGTGAGAACACGGGTAAGTGGATCTGAGTCCACGAAAGGATCAGCCATGATCTTATTGAATGGCGGAGCAGGCTCGAAGGGCCAGACGGCCTACCCCTGCTCCTAGTTCTTATGTTCTTATGTTCTTGTATTTTAGTGTGCATCATGATACCCACCTAATGGGTTTCCATCACTCATGCCATCCCAAATGAAGACTACATATAGACTTGGGGAATGCATTCCTTGGACATTTCTATCTACTGTGAAAGCAGTTCCTTGATTCACTTCTACCAATGCAACTCACTGATTCACCTGGCTTCCTGAAAATCCTCAATCATATTTCGAAAATGAAACCAGGATTTATTGAAATGCAGAGATAGTAAGAACTGCCGAAGCTGGAGTCGGAGATAATACAGTGTGGAGCTGGAGGAACACAG